AAGTATACTTAGTGCTATACTGCTCAATAGGTCTTAGTGGCTGGATATTTCTATTTGATACTATACACACATTGATAACTCCTTCTTTCCTCTAAATCTGCCATCACATATTAAAATGTTCCTTTTCATAAACCAACAATAGGTTTAACGAGAGCTTCTGTGAGTTATTTTAAGCTTTATGACCATTAAATAACTGTTCTTTAACATAAATACATATCCTACTATAGGGTGCGAAATGAAATAGATCTACCACGAGATCTAACAAATGCCATGTACACAGGAGCACACGCACAGCTTCATTAAAAAAAAAAAAAAAAATACACTGGTGTAAATAGTAGGATATACAAAACGCAGACACCATTCCAGCATGTCCTGAGCAACGAGGCTTCAACCTGAGCTGAGACGCCTCAGCTTCTCGTAATCAAAACGTCACATGACTGCTTTCTGCTGCACGTTGGCCAAAAACATTTATGTATATCTGTGTATATTTTCTCCCTCGTGACTTTGACTGATTTTTAATGAGGGCGTTTTTCCTTTTTTTTTTCTTATTTCTTTTTGATGAGCAAAAAATTGCCATCGTTTACCCTACAGTACCCAACACTGGCGCGGCCAACTTTAACATTCCTTTTACTGACAATGTTCTTTCACGACTCCTCTTCACTTTCCATCCCGTCCCGATGCATAGTTGAGTAGCCTTGATTCGGACGGGATGTGACTCAGCACGAGCACAATTCTCTCTTTTACGAACTAGAACAGATTTCCAAAGGCCACCTTCCTTTTTCATTAGCCTTTGTGGCCTTTCCTACATTTTATGATGGTTCTCACAATAGAAGCACACGTCAGGACAAGCTTATAGTTGTCATCTGTAACATGTGTATGTCAGATCACTTTTGACGCTCCATCTAGATCAGGGTTCTTCAATGTACGGGTCGCGATGTTCAGTGATAAAAAAAAAAAAAAAAAAAAAAAAATATATATATATATATATATATATATATATATATATATATATATATATATTATATATATATATATATATATATATATATATATGCACACACACAAGAACTGATATTGGGTTAAGATAAAAATACAAAATGGACTTACTGGATCGTGAAAGAAGTGCACAAAATCAAACTGGGTCATAAAAAACGTTAGAAGAACCCTACTCTAGATCACTGCTGATTCCTATAAACACAACACTTCTAGAAACACTTGGAAGCATGAACACAACACAGTCACTGTTCATTCGCACGTTTTCTGTCCCACACCAGCCGTAGATAGGGTGAACGCATGCCTAGCACTCTGCCCTCCAGCCATTCCCCCAACAAGGTCTTGGCTCCTCCATACGAAGCATTTCACCACCATGAATTGGCCATAGCTGTGAACTCTGCCTCGGGACCAGTAATAACGCTACCAATATTTTGGGTGGGATAAAAGTTGGTACACAACTAAATAGATTTTCTTTTAGACTGAAATTTACGTGACACAGCAGTGCCATCTTGGATGGTGGGACGTGAGCGTGCGCGCCCACGCCTGATGGGCATGCACGGAGGACAGCACCGTGTGGCTCCAGCACTGTCACCTTCCGCCGGTTCGGGCACGCTCAGCACCTTCACAAACACTCAACGTTCATGTCCTATTTGCAACCAGGGTCACGCAAGGGCCTTTCGCCCAAGTGTTTGGCTGATCCTTCCCATAGAGAAAACGGATTGAATGTCTAGATGAAATCAGCTGAATGTCTTGTCTTGCCTTGTTTCTTTAGCAGTTAAGAAGTGAATGCCTTTAGAGACTTTGGTTATTGAGATAATGGGTCTTTCTTTACCCACACGGCCCATATTCTTCCCCCAGAGGGAGTACAAGGACGTCTGGTTGGTATGTATTTCCGCCGTGGTAAAGTGCTTCCTGTACCGGCGTCAGACACCCCCCGCCCTCGACGCAGCTGCCTTTTTAACAGTAGTTTTGAGTTTTTCATACTGACGAATTTTGTGAGGCGAACCAGCAACGTTGGCGACACGCGCAGCAAGAGCTGGTTGCCCCGTCAGTAGAGTAGACAGGCGACGCCACCATCACCTTCCTCTTTCTCCCCCTCCTCCCTCTCCCTTCCTGCTCCTCTTCACCTTCTCCGGAACTCGTCAGGACGTAGGACAGCCGAGCATTCCTCACCATCTCTTGGTAATGGCTCGAGCAAGAGCCACTAGATCAAGGCTGCACAGGGGAGGACGGTGGGACGATCCCGTCACTGGCCCGACACTTCCTTAACCATAAGTACCCTGCAGCCTCTTCTCTTCATCTTCCTCTTATTATTTTCATTCTTCTTCTTATGTCTTATGTTTAATTTGTTAGATTTTGCTTGTTTCTGCGTGGGAACAAGTTGTATTGAAGATTCCAGAAAAGGGAAAATAATACTTTATTGTAAATAATCAATGTTTGAGTTTATGATATCGTGATGATGGTAAGCACTTTGATTCCCCATCAAATATCACGTTTGCTGGAAAAATGCATAATCAGGAAGTATTCATGCTGCACATTGATTTAAAAATCCAAAAGAGAGTGTGTATTATAAGTTTTACGATATATTGGTGAAATGCTTATTGCCGCATAGATGAGATATTCTCGAGTTTACACATTCTATACCTCCAACATGCAATATGTAACAGTGCTACGGATTCAACTTCTCATAGTTTTTGTTCATAAAGGTTGTTAATAAAGGACTGGAGTTTTTAACATATACGCCAGGTAGCTAGGCCTAGGGCGTTTGCACCCCTAGCTCGCGGGCGTTTCGTGCCCTTAAGGCTTTGCCCATATGTAACACAATATTATCAAATGTAAAATAGAAGAAGCATGTTATACAAATACTGGTTTATTTATCTGAATCTACAGATTTATGTTCTTCCTTATATGGTTCGCTTTCATCAGATTCTTATCCATCAGTCCTTTTCTGCGTTAAAGGAAAAAATAATAAATAAGATAAAAAATGATATAAAGTGATAATGATAATGGCATCATAGTCCTTTTCTGCGTAGAATCGGCATTTAGGAAATTTACGACCGTCTTAATTATGGTGAAAATCTCGAGATTCATGTTGTTCATATCGAGTGTCCAAAATGTCATCTTTAAGTTCCTCCAGTAAATCTTCAGTGTTGGTTGACATGAAGTCGGCGTCATAGTTCAGTAAAATCATCGTAATTATGGTGAGTGTTCAACCCATGTTTCATTCTTATTCTCATAAGTGAAATGGTTTGTCATTTCATGGTACAGTAACGCCGATACTAATTCATTCGCCTTGCATTTATCGAAGAAAGTTGTTAGCCGTCTTATTCTCAAAACTGTCGCTTGACATCCTTTCATCATAAAACACTTCATTTTCATTCTTTAGATACCTTTATAGTTGTGTCTCCAAGCACCGTCACCGCCGAGGACATTTCTAAACCATTTTAAACATTTTCAAAGGGTTATGTCATTTTTCTTAACCATTTTGAACATTCTCAAAGGGTTACATTTTTATTTATATATTGACTATGTGTGTGTGTGATTTATATGTGTGTGCGTGTATGTGTGTGTGTGTATGTGTGTATGGGTGTGAGTGTATGTGTTTATGTAAGTGTGTGTGTGCGTGCATGTGTGTGGGCATGTGTGTGGGTTTATATGTGTGGGTGTGTGCATACGTGTGCATATCCATATGCGTGTGTACATGCATATGCATTTGTATGTATGTGCATATACACACAAGCACATACACAGACACACACAAATGCACTCATGCACACATGTGCACACACAAAACACCGTCACCGCCGAGGTAATTTTTGAACCATTTTGAAAGGGTTATATTTTCATTGCCTAGATATCTTTATAGTGGTGTCCCCAAAATACCGTCCCCGCCTAGTTCATTCCTGTGTGTAAGTGTGTGTGTGTGTGTGTGTGTGTGTGTGTGTGTCTGTGTGTGTGTGTGTGTACAGATTCATATTGTTTCTTAGACGTTTCGCTTTCATCAGATTCTTCTCCATCATAGTCCTTTTCTGCATCGTTTAGGAGATCTACGACCTTCATCTCTGTCTTCATCAGTCATTCTTTTAATTATTTCTGAACCATTTTGAAACATTTTGAACATTTCCGAATCATTCTGAACATTTTGAAAGGGTTATTTCTTATCTTTATATTTATATGATGATTGATGATTTTCATTCTCTAGATACCTTTATAGTGGTGTCCCCAAAGTACCATTTACATTTTGAAAATTTTAGAACACGTGAAAGGGTTATATTTTTATTTATATACTGATGACATTGAACTTTTTTAACATTTACCATTTTGAACATTTTGAATATTTTGAAAGGGTTATATATATATGACTTATTGATTGATGATGGATTTTCATTCTCTAGAAACCTTAATAGGGATGTCCCCGAAAAAACGTAATTTTGAACATTTTGATACATTTTTGAACATTTTGATACATTTTTGAATACTTTTGAACATTTTCAGCATTTTTTACATATTCGAACACTTTTGAACATTTTGGAGCATTTTTAACATTTTGAAAGGGTTATATATATATATATATATATATATATATATATATATATATATATATATATATATATGTGTTAAAGGTATGTAATATTCTTGATATTATTACCAGTAGTTCAAGGACTCGAATGGCGCATAAATTCGGCAATATAAAATCGAATGATAAACTGGTATCCTAAGAATTTGTCAATTTCCCATATCAATTAATCTTCGATGTGCTATAATTGATAATTGTTTGTTCGTCTCCTCTCCTATTGCCTATTGTCTTTTCTCGACTTTCAACGATTTAAAAGCTGAGAGGAGTTCATATCCTTAGTTCAAAGACATAGCAAAGCATCGATTTTGCATGTTTATAAATGGTATATGTATATGTGTGTGTGTGTGCGTGCGTTTACGTTTGCCTGTGCGTGCAAGTGTGTGTGGTGTGTGTGTGTGTGTGTGTGTGTGTGTGTGTGTGTGTGTGTGTGTGTGTGTGTGTGTGTGTGTGTGTGTGTGTGTGTGTGTGTGTGTGTGTGTGCGCGTGCGCGCGCAGACACTGAATATCCTTCAGTGCTCTCCGTGCTGCCAAGGAGTTGGGTGTGTGGTAAATAAACTGATTTCGGACTTCATGAAATGGAAAGTTTATGAATACAAAATATGGCATCAGGTAATCCCAACAATAACAGGGAAGTAGTCAAAGTCTGAATAATAATTGAATATTGAAAGAAAGAATAATGTCATAAACTAATTACTTCATGCTTCAGATTTCTGCATCATAGAGTCTAACAATTGATATATGTGTATCAAAACGAAAATAATTCCATGCATAATGCTGTGGTAGGATTTCAGTTCTGCCTAATAGCTCACCTTGTCCAGACATGATGAGTAGTGAATATACATAAGTACGGAACTTTACGATGATATAAATATGACGATGTAGATAGTAAATTCATCATCTTTGTAAAACGGCTTCAAGACACACTGTATAAACAAAAATACATACAGACAAAAGTACGAAGACAAAATGAAACTGTCACATACTGAATGAAATAAAAACGTGACGTTTCTAACTCGTCAAATTCTCCTTATCAGACGCAGTAAAAAGCAAAATGGATCCATTGCGGCTTTTACAGTGCCCGATGAAGAGCGCTTGATGATTTCGAAACGTCACATGTGTATTTCGTTTGTATCACTGCAGTGTTTCATTTTACCTGTGTGCACACGCCGCTGTGTTTATATTTGTGCTCAAGCATGAAGACATAAGAAAACATTCTGCATACATAAAACCTAAATAAACATAGCCCAGTCCTTCATTCACCACATGCTTTCATCACTACTGTTAATGACTGACTGCATAGGACTCATTTTAAAAAGGAAAATTCGTAGATTCCCTCGACACGTAACAGCCATTCTATTCTTCCGTCCTGCAACCCCATTCCCTATCTCCTGAAGTGTCCCCGTCTCCCCGAACGCCGACCCGGGGGTCCCACCGCTACCCCCATGGTGCCCCACCTGTAGACCGGGTCACCCCACAGTAGCCCAGAGCGCCTCTTCACGGTAGCCGTGGCCGCTCCCCACCGTAGCCTTGACCTGCTCCTCACCGTAACTACCTGGCGACCAGCCCACCTCTCGCGCGGTCACGTGCAGCAGAAACAGTTTTGTCTAGTGTTAGCAAGCAGCCGCTGTTCCAAGCAGGGTGCGGCAGAGCCAGTGCCTCAGGCTGAGCTCTGTGCAGCACCTGTGGAAGTGGATTTATACATATGTGTGCACTTGACTTTTTTTAGATGTCTTTTTTTTAGGATTAGTAGATTTTGAATCAGATATACATACTTTAGGTAAGCCAATCAAATCTGAAATATAGTAATATGCCAGAATGATGCATATGTCAAGGGAACACAGTATACAATAAGACATAAAATTTTATGTAATAAATTTCGTTATATATGCACACATAAAAAATAAGACCAAAGAATACTCTGAATACAGTGCTAAACACACACACACACACACACACACACACACACACACACACACACACACACACACACACACACACACACACACACAAACCTGAGATCTGTTCACTTACACGCGTGATATATTTCATCTCTGGATATTACGACCATGAACATCTTATCAATTCTATTGAGAAAATAATCCATATGTTGCTAATGATGTTTTTTTTTTCACTCCCCTTTTGCACACTTTTCTCCTTCGTCTTGGACATATATCGTTGTAAATCAATTACACAAACCATTTTCACTCTGATCACACTCTCACTCGTCTTCCTCGCCATCTGTCTCCGCACACAAACACACACAATCCAATCTCCAGGTCAAGAGCACAGGTCAGCAGGATACGCGCGACAACTGCTGGAGGTTCTTCATCGACCGAGTGAGGAAGAACCTGAAGATGGTCTTGTGCTTCTCGCCCGTCGGGTCCGCTCTCAGGTATGTCGAACCCGCTCGGTGTGCTTGCCGGTAAGGGACGAGTTTCAGATATATTGCTGGACAAAAATTAACCGATGATGAATAAAAATATCTACTTTGCACTTCGCCAGAGTGCGAGCTCGGCAGTTCCCCGCCATCATCAGCTGCACAACCATTGACTGGTTCCACGAATGGCCGCAAGAGGCGCTGGTGTCCGTTTCGGAAACATTCCTCGGAACTCTTGAATATCTTCCTGTGAGTAATTATCTACTAATATCTGGTAATGTGCTGTCATCCCTCTTACATGTGAAATAAGATACAATATAGAGATAGCAATGGTATCTAGAAACACACAAAATGAAAATTCAATCTGATGCACTAGCGATGCTATGAATGATTCTCATGACAATTAAGAAGACGGCAATGCATGAATAATGACGTTTTGCAGGAATCCCTGCGAGGCTCTGTGTCCAAGTTCATGGCGCACGTCCACACGTCCGTGAACGACATGAGCAGAGTCTACCTGACCAACGACCGCCGCTACAACTACACGACGCCCAAGACCTTCCTGGGCTTCATTTCGCTCTACACGAAGCTCCTCTCGGCCAAGCACCAGGAACTCCAGGCCAAGATCGAGAGGCTGCAGAACGGCCTGCAGAAGCTCAGGACGACTTCCACGCAGGCGAGTTGCTCTTGCTTTCTTCATTCTTTCTCTCTCTCCCTCCCTCTATTGTGCATGCACACCCATCTATTGCATTAAAACAAGATACATTCCGCCAAACGTAATACCAACTATTGATAGGGAGTTAACAGATTGGACGATAAGCCAACAAAGCCGGACAGAAAGCGTTAACCGACGAGCTGTCATCTTCCTCAGGTGGACGAGCTCAAGGCCAAGCTCGCCGTCCAGGAGGTGGAACTTCAGAAAAAGAACGACGAAGCCGATAAACTGATTCGTATCGTAGAGGCCGAGACAGCCAAGGTAAACAGAAGCTTCTTCATCTTAAGCATTAGGATGGACAAATATATCTTTAAAATATATATATTTATTGTAGAAAAAATAACGTATAAGCATTTCTTTCTTTCATTATCTAAACTGTCATTCCGTCCACAGGTGTCGAAGGAAAACGAAATTGCCAACGAAGAGAAACGGAAGGTCGCCATCATCGAAGCCGAAGTGGCCAAGCGACGGAAGGAGTGCGAGGAGGACCTGGTTAAGGCAGAACCTGCACTCGTTGCGGCAAAGGAAGCACTCAACACACTCAACAAGGTGAAAGGTCTCAGAGATTGTCGTCAAGGCTCTGTTTATATGTAGACAACTGGTGAACACGTGATTTTTAATCTAACACTTTCCACAGGCAAATCTCACAGAGCTGAAGTCCTTCGGGTCACCTCCTTCGGGCGTGGACAGAGTGACTGCAGCCGTGATGGTGCTGCTGGCCCCCAACGGCAAGATTCCAAAGGATAGATCTTGGAAAGCGGCCAAGGTAATGACCTGGTTCACTGATTTTAATTTATATTTTATATTTGGAAAGATTTTGTCCATAGAAAACTATTACAAGCTTTGCAAGAAAAGACTGCAGAAGATCTTTCAGTGTCTTATTATAATTTCTCATCTTGTTTCCACCAGGTGATGATGGCAAAGGTGGACCAGTTCTTGGATCAACTCATTAACTACGACAAGGAAAACATTCATCCAGATATCATCAAGAATATAACACCTTACTTGGAGGACAATGAATTCAACCCAGACTTCATCCGTTCAAAGTCTGTTGCTGCTGCAGGTATTGGTTACTATGTTATTGTTAATCTTCATATTATTGTGTAGGTATGCTGTTGCTTTACTATTGTTTTATTACTATTGTCTAAGAAAAGTATGAAATGATCTGTGCGTAAGGAACCTGTTTGATATTTATTAGAATGGTATGAGGTGTATTGAGTGTAAGGAACATGCTTAAGAAATACTGCTGAGGATTAAGTTTTTGTCAAGCATTCCTTTGTTATCTTGGGTCACAGTAGTAATGCCAATAGTATTATGACCATGGCCCAAGATAGTAAAGAAAGCTTCTTTCTTACATTCAATACATTTCATGTTTTTAATTCAATGAGGCCGCTGTGTTAGACCTTTGTATGTGTTATATCCTCCCACAAGTACCGCTCCCTCAGGTCTGTGTTCGTGGGTCATCAACATCATCAGTTACTACGAGGTGTACTGCGACGTGGAGCCCAAGCGACGCGCCCTGGAGGACGCCAACAACGAGCTGGCTGCGGCCCAGAGTCGCCTCACCGCCATCATCTCCAAGATCAAGGTGAGCGTTGAGTATGGCGATCCTTCCCTTTTTTTAATTTAATTGTCAATCCCCTCATTCAGGGCACTCGTTGGATATTTCACTGAAATTTATTGTGTTCGTTTGTTTCTCAAATACACTTGTTCTCTTACAGAGCTTGGAGGAACAGCTAGCACGACTTCAGGCAGAGTTCGACAAGGCGACAGCCGAGAAAATGAGGTGCGAGAAGGAAGCGAACAGCACCGCCCACACCATCGCCCTCGCCAACCGCCTGGTGGGAGGCTTGTCCTCAGAGAAGATCCGCTGGGCTGAAGCCGTGGCGCAGTAAGTGGCGCTAAAGCATCCACGTTTCTCTTCTCTATTTTTTTTTTTTTTTTTTTAGTTCTCTCTTTTTGCCTTAACTTTATATTCTTCTTTCCATCTTCAACCACGCCTTTTGCACCTCTTTGTATTTTAGTCATTGCAGCCACTATCCGCCGATGTAAACCTGCACTTCTCCCCTTCAGGATGCACATTTCGGAGAAGACCTTACCCGGGGACATCCTACTGGTGGCTGCCTTCATCTCCTACGTCGGTTGTTTCACGAAGCACTACAGACGCGATCTCATGGATAAGATGTGGCTTCCTCTCCTGCAGAAGCTCAACGTAGGAGACATGTCTCTTCTGTATTTACGAAATGTCTTTAAGTTTGTTGGTATAATTATGATGATTATTTCACTTATTTGTTATGATTACACTTCTTCCATATCTTCATATGCTCATCATTCACAT